GCGTTTCAGAAAGGCGGGGCATAGAGGAGAAACAATAATGTACAGTATGTGGAAAATAATGTTTTTTTTTTTTACCTAAAACCGCATAAACACATTTCATTACACCAAATACACAACATAATGTTCTTTTTAGCAACATCATATGACCCCTTTAATAAACCTCAATATAGGCGCGATGGATTTTATAGCTATATAAATATTTTAGCGATATTTTATGTTGTGAAGGATAGGCACAATTGAAGTATGGAATGGCAGTGTTTTTAACAATTCAAGTACATGCTATTGCACTCCACCACAGAAGGTTTTCTGTTGTAATTATTTAATTATATATTTATAATTATTTATTTATTTTTAGTGTAGTTCATATAGACATTTTGTTGTTCTTTTTTTGTACATAAATTATATAATTTTATGATCTCTAATTTTCGTTGGCCAATAATTAGATTTATACATCTACCCATTTTAAGATTAGCTGCACAGCAAAAGTGTTCAACTATCCTGAAGTGATTTTGTCAATCTGTACTACACTTAACTTTATTTCGTGGTTACAAAAGAGGTTACATCTGAATATTTTCACACACATACTGATTTGATGAATTCCTTTCTCAAATTGCATTGACCAATGTTTCAGGAGTTTATGACACAGAATAGTATGCTTATATTAATACATGCTTATTTAATAACTGTTTTATTTCCTATTTGGTTTTATGTATATGCTTTATTTTTTTAAGATTAATTGTTTTTTTCCAAAGCATCTTTAGATGCCAGTGTACTGTAAGGTTAAAGGGTTAGTTCACCCCAAAAATGAAAATTCTGTCATTAATTACTCACCCTCATGTCGTTTCAAACCCGTAAGACCTTCGCTCATCTTCGGAACAGGGGTTTTGGAGAGTACCCCAGAACGTAATCAACGTAATCAGCGTTGTTTACGTTCAGCATGCGCGCCCTTTTTACTGAAAATAAACAGCGCAGATTATGTTCTGGGGTACTCTCCGAAATGGCGGAAGACGGTAACTCGGGGGAGAAGAATGGCTGAATAAATTATGTTGTTATTGTTTTCTTTGCGCACAAAAAGTATTCTCGTAGCTTCATAAAATTATGGTTGAACCCCTGATGTCACATGGACTATTTTACAGGTGTCCTTGCTATGTTTCTTTGCGTTGATCATAGTAATATCATTGCTGTCTATGGAGGGTCAGAGAGCTCTCAGATTCCATCAAAAATATCTTAATTTGTGTTCCGAAGATGAACGAAGGTCTTATGGGTTTGGAGCGACATGAAGGTGAGTAATTAATGACAGAATTTTCATTTTTGGGTGAACTAACCCTTTAACCCTGCCTGGTTTACATATTTCAAATGATTAACAGTTGAAAACAATCGTTAGAAATTTTGAAAAGTAATCAAATGTAATCAGTTACATTACTTTAGTAAAGTAATTGAAATAGTTCCACTACTTATTACATTTTAATGGGGTCACTTGTAATCTGTAATCTATTTCATTTCCAAAGTAACCTTCCCAACACTGGAAAAGACTGTGCTTCAGCAGACGACTGCTTTAAGACACAGTACACAGTATTTCATACAACTCTGCAAATGTAACTAAGCATTAATTCAAAAGCCTCTCTAGACAGTTCATTGTGAAAATCATGTATTTGGCTTATGCAGCCAATGCCATTATACCCTGCGAGGGCATGAAACATCCATGCATTGTGTTGTCTTTTATACAGCAAGTAAAATTTCTAAACAAATAAACAGTTTACATCATTTTTTTTCCAGAGCAAATGTATAAATAAGTAGATTGAAGGTCAATACACTATAATTTCTTATACTATAAATATATCAATAAATTGATCTAGTTAGTCTGTAAAACTATGTTTCATTCAAAGACTGTGTACGTCATTTGCAGTGTAAGACCATAATTTTATTGAAGATAAGACATTGCTTAACTACTTAACACTAAAATGACATTGCACTAAAAAGCTATATATTGCATCAGGAGTAGGAAGGTTGACATAAGAAATTTAAACCTTTTGGAAAAGCTGACCAGCTGTCAGATGGAAATAGTTTATGTTGTCAGGGCTCTGTGGAGGAATGCATGCTGGTTAAAGAAATGTCAACCCCCTGACGGGGCATCTGTGCTCATCTCTGTCACAGCCTCTCAGAATCAATGGGGTCAAAGTTTACTCTGAGAACGTGGACAAACGGCAGATCATCATGGACCTTCAGATCAGGTGACATCACATAATATATGCTATGTTGACATCTTTTGATCTTTTATTTAACTTTCTGGTTATCCCACAGGTTTTAATATTTCTCTTTTCTTTTATAGCTATGTTGGAAATACTGAAATCGATGTGGATGTCAAAAGGTACTACTGTAGAGCAGGGATCAAAAGTATACAGGTATATTGTTATATATTCTCATAAAACATTGATAATGTGATATTCTCTGCTCTTGTGCCGCATACAGCAGTAGGATTGCACTGTTATTTGTTCACAACAGATACACAGCAGCTCTGTTATGTATGGCATCTTCCATTGAGTTTGTCTCCATGAGCCAATGGATTATGTTAGCCAAGGCCAGAGAGTTAATTTGTTGGATACAGGGAAGCTCTTTCCTATATTGTGAAGCAACCACGTGTTTCATGGAAGGAATCCATTCGACTGTAGAACGGAGCCTATTTTTATTTTTTACAGAAAGGGTGTGTGTGTATTTATAGGGAGGCGTGTAACCAAATACTAAAATGCCCTTTTACTGTTTGTAGTGCATGATCAGATATATAAACACATGCTCACACAATGACCGTTTTGTACATGATTTATGGACTTATTTCATTCTGTCGCATTAAATGCATAGCAGATTAAACTCCCTGTGTGACAGCATGCTGTGTTTATGTATGATGTATTTTTTACTATATGTCAAGGAGGTCTATAATACCTGGAGAGAGCTGTTAGCATTCCCATTCATCTCTACGATAGTTACACAGGGAAGTCTGAGGCTGCCATCTTTGCTTTATGGAAACTTAGTTCCAGAAAAAAATAGCACATTTCATGGCTTTAAGAGCCCTTATTATATAATTAGCCACTGGTAAAAGATGTTCAATAATATAATAAACATTTTAATGAAACTTTGTGTTTTACATGTCACGAAATTCTAATTAGTGAGTAAGGTGGGGCAAGTTTATTTATATAACACCTTTCATACACAAATTGCAATTCAAAGTGCTTTGCATACAAATAAGAAAGAAATAAAAATAGAGTAATAAAACAAGTAAGAAAAATCATCAGAAAAAGCAGTTCATATATACACTGACTGACCTTGTATAACCTCTTCCACATATTATGATTAAGGACTACTTGAGACAGGGCATTCCCTTGAGTTATTTGTTCTCATTAGCAGCTCTTTGGTAATGGATGATTGTTCAAAACAGAAGCTCATAATTCTGTTGTGAAGGTGAATTGTCTATTACAGAGCATGTCAGAATGCTGTCAGAAGCAAAATAATAAATGCATCATGTCAGGATCCTGAAACACTCATCATCAGCCTGGGGCGCATAGTGGTTAGATTGACAGCGCTGCTCTCTCACGCCAAAAATCTTTTTCTCATTTTCCAGAAAAGAATATCCATCCTTAGAAGGAAAATATAGGAAAATAAGACAAAGATATTAAGAAAACACAGTTCTGTCATTCTATTTGAGGTCTCCAAGGCTGATGAAGTGGGTTGTTCCTAATTAAGGCAGCAATGCTTTCATTAATATAATCTGGTGAATGCCAATTTTATTTAATTTTTTAGCTTTTTTAATTGAGAATATTTCATATTGCCTTAATTGGAGTAAGGTACACACCGAACCTCTAGTGAGAATCCTTACCAGTGTTTCAAAATGTAATGTGATGTGTCTGTCAATTTCTCTGTGTATGTGCTTGGCCGCATGTATGAATAGCTACATGGAGTTCTGCGGGTGATTCTTGAGCCACTTTTGGGGAATATGCCGCTGGTTGGTGCTCTTTCCCTCTTCTTCCTCAAGAAGCCAGTGAGTTTACGAACAATTTATTACTACCTTGATAATATTGTCTGTATTTTTGCCTGATGAAGACTGAAGTTGCTTTGTTTCTGATAAAGTCTGGAACTGTAATATCAGTGTGTGGACATGTATTCCCTTTTTCACTTTTGCTGCCTCTTGTCCTGCACCTATGTTTAACTTGGATTTGAATGTGAGCATTTCCCCAAAAAATATCTATTTTGCCACACCATACAAAGGAGCGTTGTCTCTGAAATGCTGTTGTTTGCAGTTATTGCAAATGATATGTTATACAGCATAATGAGATACAGCTCTTGAAATTATATATATATATATATATATATATATATATATATATATTACATTTATATCTTTAGGAGATGCTTTTTGTACAAACTTAAATGTGAATAAATATGTTTATATTGTACATACAAAGTCATGGGTGAGTGTTAGGGAGGAAGGATTTTAAGGAAAGAGTGTCTTAAGGATATCTGATGAGACAGCTATCAGATAAGATTGTGAATGCTGAAAGAAGATAAGGCATAAGATCAGAAGTCAGTGTGGAATTTGAGTGGGCAGTGACTTGGTTCTTGTTAAACAGCAGGAAATATTTGAACTTTTCAAAGTATATCATAGAGTCCTCGTAATGAATGCATGCAGAAGACATCTAGAAAGAATTAGTTTTACTTCCATCAGCTACATGTTGCGGTCAGTCCAAGGGCAGTTGAATGACTTTGAGATATATCTACAGATGTTGAGACATTTCTCAGAATATCTTTTTTATGTTCCACGAAAGAATGTTATACAATATTATAAGAAGGTGATGACAGAATTGTTATTGAACTATCCCTTTAATGTGCTCATAGAACCACAAAGATCGTCCTTGACCTTGACCAACCATATTTTTTTCCACGCACTCCATGAAGTCAACTTTAATGGCCTATGAAGGATATTTGATAATTTTCAAGATGCATTTGACATGAGGTCAGTTAATCGAGGAAGGGTATCCTCAATCATTGCAGCAGATCCAACGGCAATAACGCATATAAGAACTTTGGGGAGTTGGAAAACTGTGTCAAAGCAGCTTTACAGTATCAAATAGGAAAATAGTGTGTCCGTGCAAAAGGACAATAGTAAACACTCAATTTTCAGTTAAAGGCAGTTCATCATTGAATTCAGTGATGTCATCGTCCAGCTCAGTTCAGTTTAAATAGTATCTGTGCAATCAAGTCGATGATATTACTGGAAATTAAGTGTCCCCAACTAAGCAAGCCAGAGGCGACAGCGGCAAGGAACCAAAACTCCATCTCTGGTGGCTACAGTGACCTCGGAATAAGAAAGAAACAGACTAAGATAATGGCGTAGATGTCATTCTTCTTACGATGTAACGAGTACATTGTGTGTTATTGGAAGTGTTCCCGGTTCCGGTTGACCTAATTAATGCAACCTAACAATCCTTTAATGGATTTGAATATTAGAAATGTGATAGTGTGTTATGTGTAAGCCAGGTTAAAGAGATGGGTCTTTAATCTAGCGTGGAGGAGTATAATGTAACAAGAGCTCGTTCAAATACTGAGGTGCTAAACCATTCAGGGCTTTATAAGTAATTAGCAAGATTTTAAAATCTATACGATGCCAGTGCAGTGTTGACAGAACCGGACTAATATGGTCATAATTCCTGGTTCTAGTAAGAATTCTAGCTGCTGCATTTTGGCCCAGCTGGTGTTTGTTCATTAAACAACCACCCAATAAAGCATTACAATAATCTAACCTTGAGGTCATAAACGCATGGATTAAATGGATTAAATTTGACATTGAGAGAATAGGTCGTAATTTAGATATATTTTTGAGATGGAAAAATGCAGTTTTACAAATGCTAGAAACGTGGCTTTCTAACGAAAGATTGCTATCAAATAGCACACCTAGGTTCCTAACTGATGACGAAGAATTGACAGAGCAGCCATCAAGTCTTAGAGAGTGTTCTAGGTTATTATATGCAGAGTTTTTAGGTCCTATAATCAACACCTCTGTTTTTTCAGAATTTAGCAGTAAGAAATTAAATTATTAGACAGAAATTACTGTCAACATCATAATATGCATTCAACTTTACATTAAACCAGGGTTTCTCAAACTGGCCTTAATGTAAGAACTGCGGTGGGTTTGTGAGTTGATAAAAAGCTAATGATTCATTAAATCATAAAAATTTAAAATAAAATAAATCAAACACTTGAACACCAAAAATATAAATATTTTATTTGTTTAACTTTGTCAGTGTGACCATTAACTGACACTAACCTGTAAACATGCAAATGTGTTATTAAATTATTGAAATATTAACTTTTCCAGAGATATTTCAAGTAAATATTTCATGTCAACGAGGCTTGGCTGACAAAAACATTTGGGAATCGCTGCATTACATGAACAAACATTAATAAACAAACATGAAAATTACACACCCAAAGTCATCCTGGTTTGAAAAATTGCAGAACTGACAATTACTGAGGGTTACTGGATATGATGAAGACATAGTGTTTCACAGCTATACATCACCATTGTTTAATAACTTGCATAGTTATTTTTAATACATGGTCTGATTGCTTTATGCTTTATTCACCCAAATTCAGAAGCATGGTTTGCAAATTGATTTTACATGACCATTCTATATTGTCAATTTAGTAAAGCTAAATGGTATAACACAGTAGGATTTTTAGAAAGGATCATTTAAAAGATAAAAAGAAGAATATGGGAAAATGAATACATTTTGAATTTACTGCCATCGTGTAAATATGTAATCATGTAATCCATTAAAAAGTAACTGTAATCTAATTATGACCATTATAATGTAATATATTCTAATTACAAGAACTTAATTTTTAAACCTAATTATATAATCCATATTACATGTAATCAGTTACTACCTAGCACTGGCGTCTAGTTAGGAGATAGTGTTGCAAGCATGTCCACTTCAATGGCACAGTGATGCATTTTTTATCATTTGCTTCTATCCCTCATTCTTCTCTCTCTCTCTCTCTCTAATTGACCTCCATTTGTCCAACACATCTGTTGCTGTCACATGGTGATCTGCTCTTTCTTTCCTCCTATTTCTCTCTCTGTCTCTGCTGTAGCTGCAAGGGTTTTGTACAGCCCAGTTTACATACAGAAGGCAGAGCAGCCCTACATCAACCGTACGGTGATTTAATGTTTTTCTTTTTGGGGCATGAGATGTCACTTTGAAATTAGACTAGAGTAAAAGGTTGTAGTCGATCAAAAACAGTTGTTAAGTTGGGAATTTACCATTTCTCAAAGCTGACCAGCAATCATTGCATTGAATTTGCGCTTTGTTGCTGATGAAGTGCAACTAAACAATGTATTTCACAAGTTATCCAATGTACCTGTTAAATCTGTCTTTGCCATCCATTTTTAGTTTGTAATTGGTTGTTAATCAACTTTAGAAATTACCACCACATTATTGGAAAAGTACATTTTTAAGGATACAAAGAATGCACAGGAAATTAAAACAGAAAGAAAGTGGTAATGGGTAAGGACATGTTGCAGACCTGACTCAAACCAGCATTACCGGCATTAGCACTAATGGTGTGTACACACTTGTGTTCGGTTTTCTTGGTTCTTTTGGTCTGGACAAAAAATAGCATATGATCCTTTTTGTCTTGGTTAACTTAGTGTTCACACCTTCTTTTTTTTTTTTTTTACACCAAACCTAAAGATACAAAACTGAAGGCATAAGTATAAGTTTACAACCAGATTGAACAACTTTTATGACATATCGTATGATGGAACTTAAAGGAGTCAAAACAGTGCCAGGAATTCCTCTGTTGCACAAATGTAGATCTGCTGCAAGAAGACAGAAGTTCCAGTGCCTGTACCAAACTCTGATGGGTTTTTGTTCATTTAGATGTCTTAAGTCTTTTGAAGGTTTTGGGGACATATCCTAATGACAATGACGAATTAATAATAGTCAGAAGAGTATCACCTCTTTTAGGAGCTTAGATGGAATAGGGTCTAACATACATGTTGTTGGTTTAGATGAAAAAATTTGAAAAAAGTTATAAAGGAAGAGAAAGTTATTAAAGACATTTGTCTTTTGCAGAGCTGCAGGATTGAGATTCTATTTAAAGGTTTGCTAAACAGCATAAAATGATCTTAACAGTTCTACCACGTGTGTATAGCAGTGGCAGACAGTCAGCGTCAGTGACCCAGATTCTACAGTCTGTCAGCACCAGTTTAGTAGCAGGGCTAATTTCACAGCAGGTTATCACAGCTCAGCCTGATTCTAGCTCACATTCTGCTGCTGTTTCTGAATGAAGGCTTTATTGAGTTTTCCTACACCTGCCTCGTTGAGTTTGAGTCCTTTGTGAAGTGTCCAGTGTCCTGCGGTCTGACTGTAGTTTGTGATGCACTGCAGAGGTGGCTTCTCTTCATATATTCCTCTGCAGTGTGGGCGACACTGAAATTCACAGAGGAAAAGAGGCTAAGAGAACATTTTTATATTACATCTATCCCCGTTATAATGGATGGTTTGTATTTCTGTACTTTTTTCTTTCCATCCTTCCCTCTTTCTTGTTTATGTTCTGGTGCACTGGGACACTGATTGTTCTCATTGCAGTAACAAACAGTACATAGTATTGTTATTTATGTGCTCGTTTTAGAGTGAGACTTAACATCCAAGTTGATATTAAATTACAGCCTCAGGCATGTCTAGACATATTTTATTGTTGTTTGTCTTTTTGTGTTATCTGGTTTGTGCTTGTTTCTCTCCTCTGAACAGATATACCTGTATTCTCTCTGTGTTAGCAGTGTGTTTAAGTTATCTATATGCTTGATTCTCTCTTTTTCATTCAGCTATTGGACATAAACTGGACAGGCCTCACAAATATATTGGACATTCCAGGGCTTAAGTAAGTGAACTTTTTCTTCCTACAATGGATTACATTTTTACTTAGAATTTAAAAACAGTCTTTGTTTCTTGGAATACATTTGTAAGTTTATTTTAGTCCTGCAAGGCATTTTATATAAACTGTGATTTATTTGTATTATTTTCATGTTGGTTAGGCTTCTGGTTCAGTTTTGATTTAAGGGCCTCTTGGTTTTCATCCATAGATTTATAAAACATGGAGTCTAGACCTCTTCTTTTGTTTTTGTCTTCATTTAGTTGTACTTGGATGTAGGCCTGTTTATTGGAGATAATTGAAAGAGCCTTTGTTCAGCAGTCTTAGTGCATAATCAATGTAAGACATTATTCTTTCTCTCTAACGTATGTTGAATTTAATTAACTAAAGCTTTTACACATATTATAATTGAACTGTCCCACTACTGAGTAGTGATGAATTTACCTGTTTGGCCACTTTACCTAAACAGTTTATATTATCAGTCTAACACACTTGACTACATTTATGTTTCACACATAAAGGTTTATGCTTAAATGCTTGAAATTAGTTTAGTAGACATTTAAATTGTGGCTTTATATGAATGTCTTTACAAACCTTAATAACGCGCAAGTGGCTATGTAATAGATATTTATATAACTTTATATTTTATACATATCCAAATTTTTCAGTGGTGTGGTGCACTTGATAAAAGATAGCTGGTTGATTAGTTTAAAACCTTACCTTTATAATCAGGTTAATGCTACTTGTTTTCGTAAAGAGAACAACTACCCTTGGGCATTTTACTAAAAAATAAATAAAATAAATAAATATTGAGCACTGTTTCTTCCCTTGGCTATGTGATGAAACTTAGTAGTAATATAACTGGTGATTTTTTTTTTATAATAATAAAAATGACATCCAGTATCAAACTTGCTAGTGGTTATGAGAGAGTGTTCACTAAAATGTATATGTATGGATAAGCATGCATCATAAACAGTGTAATTTAATTTTGAGCATGTTTAAACCTGTTCTTTTTACTTTAAAGATGATATATATATATATATATATATTTACTGTATCACCCTGCATTACATTCGCAATTAAATTTGAATAATTACATTTATGCATTATGCATGTAGATTCAAGGAACACATTTTTTCAGTGTGTTCCCTAGGAATTATTTAGACGCATTAACTAAAACAATGTTTTCAAATAGTCTCAATAGCCACTCAGTGCTCTCTGTAATGGCAGATTAGAAATATCTTATATGTGTTGATATAACATACTGTCTGAAGTAAAAGTTGGAGCAGATTCATGAGTGTTGCACTTCTGGTTGTGCTGATCATGCACACACACACACACACACACACACAGGCGGATGAGTGATTACACCCCTCTAGCTGTTTCTTAACACAGGCTACTGTGGACAGGGGTGGTCCATAGGAATTTACAAGTTAGTATAGTGAAGAGCTCCTTCACTAAGAGAGTTTAAATATGTATGTAGGCCTATTTACAATTTTGTGTATAGACTATTAAAGTTTATTGGTGCTGCTTTGGATCTTCACTGCACAAGAGCTGCTCTCATGTCAGCCATGCTCCTTGCATCATACAGCCAATGTAAGACTGAAGAATAGTACTCTGATCTTAGATCTGTCACTCCAGGCAACCATAATACCCTAATGCAGTGTATCTGTGGTGTCCCACTGCTGCACCGGTGAGTGATTATTGTAACCTCAGAGAACGCTATGCTTGCATTATGAAGATGTTTGGGCAACTGCATCTGCTCAGCAAGCAAATCAATAAGAGAGTTATGATCATCACGGTCATTTTTGCTTTAATTTTTTATGGTGTTTATGATTTCTGTTCGGCATATTGTTACCCACTGAATGTTGGTGCTCTTTTATTACAGAGGAAGTAATTCACAATGAAGTTGACTTTCATCACAGAATTTGGGAGATTGAATATCAAGTGTTGCTGACCAGAGAGATGAGAAAGCATTTTGGAAAAAAGATTGGAGGCAAATGTAAAACAAAGAATGGGTGTAATTGAAAGCATGAATGGAAACAAAATTTAGCGACAGAATGTGATAAGCAAGTTGAGGTTATAAAAAGAAATAAATCAGGCTAAAGTTTGAATTTATTTAATAAAATTTCCATTGGGAGGTTGGTGAAGATTAAGTCTTTTATCTTCATGAAATCAATACATTTGCCTTGTGCATCCCCCATCTAAAGCTCTTAAAGTTTGTTAAGATTATCTAATGGCCATAGGGGTTTAAGAACACCTTTAGAAATGCTTTTATGTACTAAAGTAGTTACTCAAGCTTAACTGTATGTCGGATGTTGATATAATATTACGTGTTGAACAATCATTGAGCTTTCTGTCATGGATTCATAGTTTGCAACTCGTATCTGCATCAGTCCGGTTCAGCATTCTTTGTTCTGTTGTTGAGTGTCATGTTTTATTATCGTGTAGATGAGCTGGTTTCCAGGGAAGCGATCAATTGGATTTACCTCGAAGCTTATTTTTGTGTGTTGTATTATAAGTATGCCAACATTGCACAAAATGGTTAATGTTTCTTTTACCTTGTAGAAGTGTCCTTGGTTGTTTATAAGTTTAAATGTCCATCTATTTAAACTTGCCTGCTGCAGTGTAAAATCATTTGAAATGCAAAGAAAACATGTTTTGGAAAGGAAAGTACAGTAAAATGCAACTAAATTAGACATAATACTAGAACGATTGTGTTTTGTTTTGTTTTTGTTTTTTGTCATTGCATAAAAGATAATGACTAAGTGTATTGCCATTTTGGTACCCATGATGAATTTATTCATCTTGAATAATAAACAAAAAAACACTTGGCACTTGCTTAATAGTGGTGTTGTTGTTATACATGTCTTTGTTCAGTTGTTTTCCGATTTCTTTGTGTTTTTGTTAAATGAAAATGAAAGCTAGTTGGCGTTGACAACAGCCATGCTCAAAATGAGTAATAGCTGTGATTAAGTTGAATTTTAAAAGAGCAAAGCACAATACTATACAATGTGCTGAAATCTATAATAATATAATACAGAATATTTATACAGTACAAAATAGTTATTTATTGTCTAAATTTGACTTGGACTGTAAACGTATTTATTCACTTGTTTATGGTTATTCGTCTGTGTTTTTAGTTATAAATAAATGCAAATTAATGTGGTGTGTGCTGTTTGTATGCAGTGAGAGATCAGCATGCATAAGACTTAAATCTTACTTCTATATATGGCAGTAAAGTTCTCTCATCTACAAACATGCATTTGTATATTATTATGGCTAACATAATTTAACTCTCTGTACAGTATGTTGCCTACTTGCCTGTGTTTGTGTGTTAAGATGACTTGAGGAACCCCAGGTGGCACTGACAAAACTACAGGCTTTTCAACAAAGACAGTCAGCTGCCCAGAGACAGGAGTATTGGTTCAAATGAGAGAGGGGGGAGCTGAGGAATGTCAGCACAAACCTCAAAATGGCACTATGGCTTCTGTGTGTTTCCTCTCCATTACCTCTCCCCCTGCTTGTGCTTGTATTTTAACAAGGTCGGGGTGCATTTGTGCTGGGACAGACAGATGCATATATTGTCACACCACATGCTGCTGTAGGAGTCTGCTGAAATGTAGAAAATGTATTCATGCTAATGTTACAAAAACATACTTAAAAAAACAGTGTCAGATGATCTTTGTCTTTTGTCACATTGTTGGTTTAGTCAGCAGGGTGGTGTTTGAATGTGGTTGTTGTGGTTAGCAATACATCCGGGAGGTACAGGATTGTTTTTTCTCTTTCTTTTTTAAATATTTTTTTTATAAAATCATCTATGGAGTTCAGTTAGACTTTGTTTTAAGGCAACTTCTAAGACAACACCAGCTAGTAGTAGTAACACAAACTCATTTAGACACCATTAAACAGCTTTGGTTGCTTGCCACTGAAACGTTCTCTGTGGAACATTTTGAGTAAGTTTGAAGTTTTTCCAAACTATTTGAGTCTTTTGTTTTCATTCCAGTCAATCATAACGCTGCCTCTGCTTTCATCTCTCTGATGTATGAATTATTAAACCACAATTCTGATCTTCTTTTTCCCACAAAATTATGTATTCTGAGAGAGTTACACTTCTGTCCATTGCATTGAAGATGATGATTAATATCTAGAAGTACAAAATTTCATGTAACTCATTATTTATTTTTCCTTGGCAGTGGCTTTTCAGACCACATGATCCAGGATATTATCAGCACTTACATGGTGTTGCCTAACAGGATCACTGTACCACTGATAGGTGAGGTTGAACTGGCACAGCTTCGTTTCCCTATGCCAAAGGTGAATACACTCACGCATCTCATCAAACCCTACAAATGTTTATTCATATTAATATTCATTAACCTCTCATTGTCTTTGCTGTATACACACACACACACACACACACACACACACACACATTTACTGCGCTCGTAAGACTGAAATGCGTTTCATCATCAGGCACTAGTATATGAACATTCAGGACAACATCTGGAAATTGAGCTCTTCGATGAAGACCCAGATAAAGATGACTTCTTGGGCAGGTGCCACATTCATTTATATAGCTGAAACTTACAATGTTATCTGTTATAGAACTTTATAAAGATGTATAATGTTTCTTTTATTTTTGTTCCAGTCTAATGATTGACTTGAGTGAGCTTCATAAAGAACAGAAGGTTGATGAGGTAATGCAGTCACACTCTTGTTTAGATTAATTTACAGCTCACAGCAAACGTCACCACCAGTTCTCTTTCAGCACCCTCTCATTAATGAACTGACTTTGAATTTCCAAATTTGTTGGCTGTATTGTAAGTAGATTTTAAGTTTTTGTTTTTGTATTTTGTTTTCATTCCAGTCATTCACAACACTGCTTCCGCTTTTAACTCTCTGATTCATGAATTATTAAGCCACAGAAAAAAAAAATCGTTTTTTTTTTTTTACTTCAAAACAGGAATATGATCATCTTTTTTCCACAATATGTAAAAGTACATTCTTGTTAAACTTAATTTTATCTTATTAATGTACTGACTTTGTGCTTCCTTAGATGTAGACATTTTCCTGTATTGATAATGAAATTTTTTTTCCAAAGAAAGACCAGTTGTGTCATTTCTTTTGAACTTGTAGTTTTTCATCATTGGTTTAGAATGAATTAAATGTCATTTAAGCCCATATCTGCCATTCCAGTGCACTAATCACATTTTTTTTTTCTGCAGTGGTTTGACTTGGAAGAAGTTACTACAGGCAAACTTCATCTGAGATTAGAGTGGCTGTCATTGTACCCGAGTGCTGAGAAACTAGATCAAGTATGTGCGCACACACACACACACACTGGCATTCCTATCATTAATGGGACATTCCATGGTTTTTATAGTTTTAATGGCTTTTATACTGTACAAACTATATTTTCTATCCGCTTAACCTAAACCTACCTCAAAACTTTCTGCATTTTCATATTTTCAAAAAACTTAATTCTGTATGATTTATAAGCTTGTTTATTCATGGGGACCAAACAAATGTCAAAATTAACTGGTACTACATTTGGTCCCCATAATGTAGGGAATACCAGGTATACACATACACAATCACTGAATGACACCGACATGATTAAACATACACTAGCTAAACATCATATCATTTCATTTTTGTCATCATCATTTGCTCTTTTCTATCTTATTAGGTATTAAGGAGCATAAGGGCTAATGAAAATCTTTCCTCAGCTCTGCTAGTTGTTTACCTGGACTCTGCCAGTAATTTGCCGGTAAGAACAAGAGTGAGGAGTGTACAAAGATTCTGTCTGAGGATCTGTCATAGGACAATATTTTCTGATGTCCTGCAGCAGATACATGTTTTACATTTTTGTTTACTTTCTGTTTCATTATTTTTATGTTCTACTTTTATGAAATGCTTGAAAGTGTTATTTATGTTCTATAATAGTCTACTTTGATATGAATACAAATGTGAACAAGGTGCAGATTTACACACCCTAATGATTTACATGCACTGATGTTGTTCCCCAGGCTGTATCTTGCAAGGTGCAATTATCGTCTTGCTTCCCCCTAAAGATATTATTCACCCAAGTATGAAACATCTGTCATCATTTATTCACTCTCATGTCGTTCCAAAACTTGCTTTCTTCTGCAGAACACAAAATAAGATATTTTGTAGTCCAACTATTTTTGTGCATACAATGAAAGTCAATGGAGTCCAAAATAATATTGGAATTTGTGGGCTAAACATCATTTTAAGGAATGTTTGTTATTTAACTGACACCTTTTAATTATGCGGCCATAGAATTATGTATTATTAGTTTGCGACGACTGATGTACAGTGCCGACTTTATTAATGCTTTACATTGTGCCTCCCTCCTCTACTGTAAGAGTGTCTTTGAGGGCAGCTTTGGCTGTGGAAACCTAAAGGAGAGGAGGGCCTCTGGTCTAGTCTTTTGTGAGAACCCCGACTCTCTCTATAGAACGTTATTTGTGAGTTATATACGTATATCTGGTTCTCCTGATCTAGCTGTAGCTGTTTATCTAACCTTGTGTGTAGACATTGCTTCCATTCAAGCTGTTCTTTAGTAACAAACAAACAACACCGAGTACGTTGATCTGATGCATGCATGCAAACTTCCACTTTTGCCTGTTGGGCATGTGTAGCTTGTAATTGTCATCCAATAAACTATGAGCATCACATTTCTTTGTCCCATTCTAATTGCTCAGTAACTGAGTATGTATGTATATTTTTATTACATGTATTTTGTGTTTAATCAGACTGTCAGAAGCCAAGGTTTAAATATATAGCTTTCATTCACCCATTTATTTTTACTGTCACATTAAAGGCAGAGTAAGTGATTTCTGGTAGCCAATGTTGATATTTGAAATCACCAAAACAAACACGCCCCTACCCCAAAAGGGTCTTGCCCATTGTGATAGCTCCGCCCCACATATACGTATGCAACCCAGGCAATGATTAGTTCTGTGAAACAAAGCAAAACCAATGTTACACCATGTCTAC